CGGGCACCGCAGCCTGGACGGGGCCGGCTGGGGGATCTGGGTGTCAGCCTGGGACCCTAGCTGGAGGTGATGTGCTCTGACCCCCCCGGCATACGCCTGCGCGCCGAGGTGCTGCTCATGGGAGGGCATGGGAACGGGAAGGTGCATGGAGCCCTCTGTTTTTGTTCAGCATTACTACGCGCTTAGAGAACATAAACAGCATCGGGCAGAAGAGTTAATGAAGGTTGGGTTTGGGGGCTGTTTTTTTCCATTTTGCGGACCTCAGGTGGTGTTAATCACGGGGAAGAAGATGGTATTTAAACAGAAATGCAAATTTGCACCTGGATACCAGCATTCTTCTTTGCCTGGGAATGCCCGTCAGGGGCTGCTAGTACAGAGGGGACCACAAGATTGGGTCCTCAAGAGTAATTTTCTGCCCTGCCAGTGTCATGTGATGTCACCTTCAGTTTATGCCTGCCATACACACAGGACCTCAGGGTTGCAAGGAGAAAAACAAGGCACGTGCAGGGAACTGTGGAAGGAGAGGGAGTGTGGTGAATAACTGTGATGCAAGGTTTTTCTTCCTATCAAATGCTTGTGTGTCCACCCTGATAGGAAGAGAGGGGGAAAAGCCATGGTTCAGTGCCCTCAGAGGGCCTGCTGCTTACGGGACAGACAAAATAGAAGCAACTTCTAGTGGGGAAACATGACTCTCACCCAAAATCCCACCTTGCTGGCAGCCAGAATGGCCTGTGTTCTGCAGGGGACCAGCCAAACTAAGCAGTTGGAAACACAAGGTTTCTAGAGCAATCTCTATCCTGCAAGAAGATTTCTAGGAGGGAGAGGAGTAGGGGCAGGATCCCAAACCAAACTTCTGTGCAGCCAGCCTTGCAAGCAATTCAGAAACAAAAGCACTAGAAAGGGGCGCTGTGCAGGGACAGGGGTCCTTTTTCAAAGGTAAGACGGAGAAGAAAAAACTTACTTTTTCTCCAGACACTCTACGTATTCTTTCTTCTTTCTGCGACTCTCCTGAGCAGAGATCTGTGAGAGGGACAACCATCAGAGAGGAGTCAGTATCATAAGCCTCCAGACACTTCTTCGTGGCTCCCTCATCTTGTCTGTTCCCTGCACGCACAGCACCCTGAAGGTAAATGGCAAAGTCACATTCTCATCTGCCATTCCCACTGATCTCCAGGCCAAAACTGCGAGGGATGGATGCTGTAAGTATGCAGCCTTCTTTGGCCTGTAGGCCACAACCATTTGTTGCAGTATGCCTGAGCCCCTTGCTGCTGAGAGCATTTTTAGGGTTGCTTTGAACTCCTCTGACTCACATGGGTACGTGCTGTGGCCATCTGGGCAGATTCTGCCCCAGACCACCTCTGAGTCACCGGGTGACTAATTCAGGGTCTCATCATTTCTCTCATGGGATGCTTTCTAATCACATTCTAAAGTCTCACAGCCTCTGCCTGGCTAATGAGCTCTGTGCATCGTCCATCCTGCACCATGCAATGGCTCTTGTTTGCCTGCCCCCACAGCAAGGCCTGCCCAGGCCAGTTTGTCTGATCTGTGATGCCTTAGCTTGTGGACCCCACCGCAGGCCACGCACTCCCAGGTGCTGGGCTGGAAGACACACTCCCCAGATACAGCTGCGTGCACAGCGTTTGTGCAGAGATGCCCCATGGCACCATTTCTGTGGGTTGGAAGGCTCATGCCAATTCAGCAAAGGCAGAATCCCACCTCTTCTGAGCTGCACTGCAGCTGAGGAGGCCAGGGTAACTGGAGCACTGGTCAGCTGAGGGTGCTCTGGAATCATGGGAACTGTATGATTATGGTTATTGTGAACAGTCACCTTGTTCTTGATTTTCCTCCTGACCCTCTTCAGTGCTTTCTCTTCTGCTTTGCTGAGGGGCAGCTTGGTAGGAATGGGGTAGCCCTCAGCAATCAAGGTGCGTTTCTCCTCTTCAGTCAAGAGCAATGGGCCAGAGGTCCCTTGTAACTTCTGAAACACACAGAAAGCAGCCGTCAGCGTCAGCAAGTTCTATCCCAGTGACCTTCCTAAAAGCCTTGCAGAGCAGCTAGGGGCTCAGTACAAATAGGTGCAGGGCAGTTCTCTTTCCTGCTCTCAACCTGATCCTCTGGGCACAGCTTAGCAGCTGCCTTCCTCGTTTATTGGAAGGGCATCTCCTCCTTCATGTGAGGCTGGCTAGACCCTTGCACTGCAGGACCCCACTAAAGAACTTTTGGACGATGGTTAAAACACAGTCCGGTTGTGGGAATTCTCCGTTATTTCCTTGTCTTCCATTAACCTCTGCAGAAAGTCCTCCAGTGCATAGGCCACTTCCCAAAGTATGGGGTGAAAGACAGCACTCGCTAAACCAAAGTAGCTGCTGGTAGGCATTGTGCAAGACTCATTGCGCCTCTCCTCACTCCTGTGAGCACTGCTTTCCCCACACCCCTATGCTAGGACACCGCATTGCCTTGCCAGAGCATTTCAGCTTGGAGACTTTAACAAGGGCAGGATCCCCCACACAAGCATTGGAAAGCCTCCAGCCCCCTCTGAGCACCAAGAAGCCCTGTGTCCCAGTGACGTCCTGCTGCCTGCTTACATGTGGTGCTGTGAGGAGAGGTGAGGAGGAGATGGCAGTAGAAGAGCGAGCAGCAGGTCGAGCTGGGCTGGAGGGAGGCAGGGACCGAGGGCTCTGAGATCCATCGCTGTCACTGCCATGGCTGCTGGGTGGAGTTGGAGGCATCTGCACCAGGTCATCTACTGAGAAATGAGGAGATCAAGTTAATGGCTCTCATGTCAGCCTGTTGGTACAAGCACAAGGAAAAGGCACTGCCAGAACACAGGACTGAAAGGAGAGGATAATGAGTCTCACAAGACAGGGTGGGTCTGAGAACAAGGCTGGACGGAGCACTGCCCAAGACAGACATGAGGCTGACCTCAAATGTGCTAAACTAGGAACTGCAGGAGTCAGAGAGCTGGCAGGGGCTTTGCCAAGACACTGAAGGTATTTACAAAGCAATAAGGTACTCCGGTGTCAACCAAAATGGAGTACAAAGCCCATGATGTTTTGCTCCTTAGCCTGTTCACAAGTACAGGAAGAGACGAGCTCTTCCAAACGCACCACAGGGCTCACACACTTGCCAGCACACTTGATCCAAAGTGACTCTGGTCACTCAGCTGATTGCCAAGCACTTGAAAACTGTCCCCACTTTGTACTGGAGAGCCCTGGGGGCCTTAATGGAGGTGGAAATATGCCTAAGGAATGTCTCTCTGGGGCAGTGGGAGCTCCTATAGTGCTTTCATTTGTGCATCGGCAGATTTTCAGATGCTTGGGTTTCTTTCAAATTAAACTGGATCCTGAATTTCCTGACTTTCAGATGGTTGTTTTTGGATCACACTAATGTCCCTCTGAGGATTTTAAAGGCACTCTTTCACATTTCCAGCTCTGAAGCAGCCTGTTTTGCCTGGGAGTCCCTGTCTGAACAATTTTGTGTGTGGCTGCTGGTCCAGACATTGATCTGAGCTGGAACAGTGCAGCGCTCACTACTCTATTGGTCTGTGCCTCAGGGCTACCTTGAATGCATGGCTCTGCTCTCAGGTGTTGTCTTTGCTCCCTGTAGAGTAATTATCTATATCTGAGTAATATAGAGGGATGTAAGTCAACCAGCAAATTCTATCTTCTTACCTGCAGGTACATTTAGAAACTGGTTCTCCTCTTTGGGTTCAACTTTGATTACAGGTGCTGGAGTCATTTCTATGGGAGTCTGTGGAAAAGAAGCAGAAAGAGCTCTTCAGCACTGTCAGCTGCCCTGCCCAGAGGGCTCCCACCAGTTGTGCTCAGCTGCTGCTCCCCTGCTCTCTGTACTGCCCTATCTCACAGCTCTGCCCCAAAGCAGCCTCCCACCACACATAACAGAAACCAGAGTCCAACCATAAGCCCCTTGAAGTCTGTGTCGCTGGACACACAGAGTGTAAACACATGTTTGCAGAGGAAGAGGCAGTGGCAGATGGGTATGTTGCCAGGCAGTGTACTGAGCACCACCAGAAGGGAGATGACTTTCATCCTTGGCAATTCGTCCCTTGCTAGACCCAGACAGTGCAATTTAAACCAACCTCTGCATTACCATGGGAAGTCCCTCTTTGATCTGCCTTCATTAGAAATGGGAGTACAGAGGTTGTACAGAAACAGAAACAGAACAAACCTCCTGTCCTGCTCACATGATTTTCACCAGGGCCACTGGGGCAGCTGTTTCTAATCGGAGGCGACTGGGAGTTAAATAAAGAGTAGATTTATTCCCGTCTGGGCTATGCTGCCCCTCAGCTCCCTGGCTCACCAGCCCCCATCCAACCATATATAGGCTGGGGGAGTTTTTACGCTAAACAGACACATTGCAAACTCCTCCAGACTGTAAACACAGCTGAGAGAGCACCATGGTATGGCTGCTGAGCACACACAGCAGAGCTTTGAGGGCACAGCAAGTTCAAGCTGTGTAAATAATGGAGGACGTTTGTGCACAGTTTTGGCTGGAAGTTCCCATTTGTTTTGGATGGTTGTTTAAATGGGAAGATGCTCAGCATGAGTGAAAAAAGGAAGTGAACTCCAGAGATGCTCTACTGTTATCTGCTGAGCTGCTACAAGATAGCCAAAGTCTGTGTGAGACTGGTCAGACCTTCCCATCCAACACGGCTGGACTCAAGGCCAGCCAAACTCAACCCCCAGCTTACACCCATGTACCAGTGGCATAAGTGAGCCTTCTTCAGACAAACAGACTTCTTAAGAACTTAGACATGACCAAAAGACTTGGCCCCGTGTTTCTTAGAAATAATACTTCCCGCTGCTCCATAGGAAAAAGCAAGCAGGACCTGAAGAGAGACCTCCATTTCCAGTGAGCGGCTGAGCAAAGTGAGAGGCCATATGATAAGCCCAAGGCCATGAGAAAGACAGTGGCAGAGCAGGGGCCTATACTCACAAGTAGTGGGGTCACTGGCATCACATGAATTGACACTGTTCTCTGAAAAAGGAAAATGAACCAAGAGTGGCTATAGAAATGCTGGCAGATTAGAGGGGACAGGCCTCCATCACATGAAAGCTTAAAAGCCTTTGGATTTTGTGCCAAGGAAACACACTTGTATTTAACCAAGATTGTAAAGCCTCCTGTGCTGGAGAAAATCCTCCTTCCATCGTTTTCTCTGGAAGGATAAACTGTCTTGTAGCTTCACTGCAGGAATCAAGAACACAGTTCTAGCTAGCATCAAGTGTGCCGCTCCTCTGACTGCCATTTCAAGAGGAGAATGACAAGTAATGAAGTATCTGGGCTTTGTATCACCTTCTCCTGTCTAAATCACCCAGCAGGACCCTGCAGTCACATGGCTGGGTCTGCATCACCAGCAGTGCCCCTGTGTGAGAGCCCGAGTTCCTGACGGATCTTAGATCCTGGCACTGGTGAGGCCGCACCTCGACTACTGTGTTCAGTTTTGGGCCCCTCAGTACAAGAAGGTCATTGACGTGCTGGAGCGTGTCCAGAGAAGGGCAACGAGGCTGGTGAGGGGTCTAGAGAACAAGTCTTACGAGGAGCGGCTGAGGGAGCTGGGGCTGTTCAGTCTGGAGAAAAGGAGGCTGAGGGAGACCTTATCGCTCTCTACAACTACCTGAAAGGAGGCTGTAGTGAGGCAGGTGTTGGTCTCTTCTCCCAAGTAACTAGCGATAGGATGAGAGGAAATGGCTTCAAGTTGCGCCAGGGGAAGTTTAGATTGGATATTAGGAAAAAATTGTTTACTGAAAGAGTGGTCAAGCATTGGAACAGGCTGCCCAGGGAAGTGGTAGAGTCACCATCCCTGGAGGTGTTCAAAAAACGTGTAGATATGGCACTTTGGGACACGGTTTAGTAGTCATGGTGGTGTTGGGTTGACGGTTGGACGTAATGATCTTAGAGGTCTTTTCCAACCTTAAAGATTCTACGGTTCTATGATTTCTATGATTAGATGGGCTCACCTCCTCGGGGACTGGCAGTCTCTGCAGAGGGTTGAGGTTCAGCACTGGTATGGAGCTGGCAGCTAGCTGGGACTCAGGCAGGTCTAGAGCCAGGTTCTGTTCCTGTTTCACCATGATGGAGCAGAGCTTGGGCCCCAGCGACCACACTCCATTCTCCAGCTCTGAAACATGCACAACGTGAGAGTCAAACTCCAGCAAGAACAGGACAAGAAAAAAAAAAGCCATGCAGACAGCTTCCCCCCAGCTGGGAAGGCTGCCTTTCCAAGTTTAGCGCTGTCACCACACAAGCTTGTGCAGGCCCACAACACAGAGTACAAAAGGGAATGAACCCCCAGTGTGCAGGGAGCAGACAGGACAGAGCTAGAGGGATTGTGTCTCTGCTCTGCTCTGCTCTGACTGTGCAGCCGGAGTGCTGGAGGACAGCTGCGGGGTTTCTTCCCTCAATGGTGTCTCGGTCTCATCCTCTGGAGCTTATTTATATTTAGAGCTCAATGAGAGGAGGATGCTGGGCCGTTGCTCCTTAGGCAGCACGGCCAGCATCACAGAGCTGCCAGGTGTGTCACCAAGAACAGCACTAGAGAGCTGGTGAGAGGGCAAGCACGATGACAGTGAAAGGCTGACAGTGCTGCTTTGGCCTCCTGCCAACATTGTGCCAAGTACCAGAGCTTTGTTGCACAACAGGCAAGGAGGAAGGTTCATTTCCGTGGAAGGAAGTCCAATGTGGCACCTGGTTGTGAGGCTGCTCCCACGGCTGCTCCCCTCAGCCTCACCTCTGAGGCTCCCTCCTCCACCCTGTGCCGCTCTGCTCAGGGGCACTGGTGCCTACGGCCATGCCCCGCTGCCATTGCTGGCACGGACAGAAGCGGCAGTGAGGGAAGGGAAGTGTCTGCAGTGGAGCTGTGTAGGGATGCTCGCCTCACCCCTTGCCTGCTCTGTCCCGTGCACATCAGTGGCGTGAGCCTGGCTGGTCACTGGAAGCAGAGATCACAGGAGCTGGGATTCAGGCAGTGGTGGATAAGCTGTAGCTCAGATGGGAAAAAAAACTGCTAGGCAGGAAAGCTTCCTGGGCTCTGCTCTGAAGTTTTAGTCCCCTCATTGCTCTTCAAACACTTTAGCCTGCCAAAAAGCTACTTCTAGCTGGGCTGAAGCCCGCATCTTGCTCCCTAATCCTCATCCCTTCCCCTTTTTATCTGACAACCAGAAACACATTTGCCTTGACAAAGGACAGATTATTGCTAAGTGTGTCACCAGATAGTGCCCCGGATGGCTCAACATGAGGCCACAGTCAGGCTCACTCCCTGACCCCTCTGCACTGCTCTCTGCATACAGCACTCACAGACCCAGGGGTGTTGCCTAGCTGTCTGCTGCCCAAAGCAGCTCTGCCGTGCAGGTCTCAGTCTGAGAGATGTCCTGCCAAGAGGAGAGGGGGAGAAAGGTCCTTCTCAGATCCAGAAAACCCTGCACAAAGCAGAGTACAAGCAAGCAGCTGTTCATGTGGGAGCTACCATCTGAACTAAACTTAAAGGTAGCTCAAAATCATCTTTGCTCAACTCAGTCTCTGTTGCCTTCAGGAGAGCACAGGGCAGAATCCTGCCCCTGACTTCCGCCTGGACACAGTGGTGTTAAAGCTTGGGCAAGAGTTATGTCAGTGAACACAATGTTGCCCTTGCCAGTGGAATATGTTGTCTTCCCGCCTTTGGTCTAGCACCTCTTATTTTGCTGCCTAGATAAGTCTAGCAGAGGCTCGTGCGTTCCAGCTCCCTGTGCGACCGAACATCTTCAAGCACAGCCAGGAGTTCCTGTGGCTGCTCCGTGAGTGTATCAGCTGCGTGCGGTGCTCTCAGTGCTGCTGGATCGCTTGCTAGAGCTTCCCACAATGCAGCGAGGCCAACGTCGTCAGGCAGCGTCTCAGGCAGGGGTGCACTGCACAGCCGTGACAACGGAGAGGCTGCCGAGCAGACAGACTGAACGGCGACTTCTCTGTCCTGCTAAGGACACCAAACACACAGCTGGTAGTGAAGACCCAGTGACCCCTGGTATGCAGACAAGCCCGTTCTGATGGAAGGAGACAAGGTGTTACACAGCCACCAGTATTTGCAGCCAGAAAACTTGGACTGACTTCTTCTGCCTGTCACAGAGATGAGGGACCTTGAGAGGTCTTCCAGTCTATCCCACTGCTCTGGGCAAGTTCAACTAAACCTGTGTCAGTTCTGACAGATGGTTGTCTGACTTGATCTTATCCCCGTTCAAAGTGATGAAGAGTCCACAGCTTCCCCCACTGGAGCTCTTCTACAGTTTCACTATGCCCACTATGGGAAAGTTTTGCCTACTGGCTAATCAGAAGTTCCCTTACTGTGATTTTAAGCCTCATCTTCCTCATCCTCCCTTTCTGTTGCAAAGCTCTGCATTTCTCTTTTTCTCAGAGACGTGGGGCCTCCTCTGTCTGGGAGGGCTGCTGCTGAGGCAAGTTACTAGACAAGGGAGAGCGGACCACCAAGGGCTCTCCCCGTTCAGACTTCACTCAGGGAGAGGGCAGCCCCCAGTACTGTCAGTCCAGACAGTCTAAGGAGCAGACACCCAAATAAGTACGCGCTGTCCTCCCATTTCCTGTCTACATTCTGGCCCTGCTTTCTTTCCCACCCTTGGATATCTATCTGGGGAGCAACTGGGTTACAGGATCAGAACCACATAAGCCATCAGAGGGTCAACGAGGAACTGAGGAGAAGGCATTTTGTCTGGACACATCTATCTTCTACTGCCTCAGAGGCCATTTCAGAGGTATGGCCAGTCTGTACCCACTGCAGAAATCACTGTATGTTGCTGGGTGAGGCATGCCAGGAAGCTCATCCTCTGCTCTAGATACCCAGTATATAATGGGAACAAGTATGGCTGAGTGATATCCACAGCTGCCCTGGGTTGAGGAAGTGAGGCAAAGAGCACTGAGGAACCAGGACCTGTACAGGAGTGCGGGCACTAGCCCGAGGCTGGTCCACCACCCGCTGTTCTGCATAACCCTGGCGCCTGACATGGAATCACGCCCTGCAGAACTGAGGGCTGGTACTGAGAACCAAAGCAGCCAGTCTGTATGCGCAAACCATCTGGAAAGCAGACTCCACTGATAAGCAGGGTCACAACGCACCCGGCGGCTTGCCCTAGCTGACCTCTGTTAGTGGGAACCATGTGGAAAGGGGCAGGATTTGGAAGTGTTTTGGAGTTCTGCAGAAAAGCTGGGAGAAAGCTGATAAATAGCAAGCCTCAGCCAGCTCCAAGCCTAGACAGAGCCTGGGCATTCCCGAGGAGCTCTGCAGATCAAGCAGAGCTTGCTTAATGTTAAAGAAAAGCCATTCCTGGGTAATTAATTTGAAGTGAATGTCTAAAAGGACTGAGACTGGATGGAGCTGTGCCAAAAGGACTGCACAGTGTTGCAAATACTGGACCTGACTCAGGGCTACAGTGGAATATGATTCACATTCAATTACGAGCCAAGATAGCCCTGGAAAGATGAGTTGAATTATCCCACTGCAGGACTGAGTGCACAGATACCCCTATACCTGCCACATTAACACTAGGCCTTACTCCCTGTATAGAGCTGATCTGCGCTCTCAGAGAGCAAGTGCCAGGTCCACCTGAAGCTCTCCTGGGTTATGCACTGTACACCCTGTGCTGGCCTCTGCCCAAGCATCAGTGTGACACTCCATTCAGCAGAGTCCTGGTCTTGCCTCGGAGACACTGCAGCTGAAGCAGGGGCATGTCCAGACAAAGGAGAGGAGCAGAACTGGCGACAAGTGTCTCAGAGAGGAGTTCCTGAGGTAGCTTCATGCAGGCAGACTTTTTTCACTGCTTTCTACAAACTCATGCTTTTTGCTTCTCTCATTCCCAAGCCTCATCTCCTCCTATTCATTTGCAGGGACAAAATAAAGCTGTGTTTATGTGCTCATGCTGGGTTGTTTTTTGTAAGTCGCCCAGCTGCCTGTTTGGGCTGAGTGCCCTCCAAGACTATACTGGGGTTAAAGTTAAGGAAAAAGAAATGTAAATGGGAAGTTATTTTGATACTAAGGCAAAGCTTGCTTGGCCTGCCATAAGCCTCTCTCCCAGCACCTCTCTGAGTGGCCCCTAAGGAACATGGCACAGATGTCAGTGCCCTTTGCAGAGACCAAAGAGGCAGTGGAGGCCAGCTCCTCTCCTCCTGCCTTGGCGTTTTTACCAGAGACCTGGGATCATTCCTGGCCATGAGAGGGAAGCCTCTGTCCCGGGTCTCACTTTTGCGCAAAGGAATGGCTTTCTTCTGTGTATACTGAGCCTGTGCCACTGCTTTTTCAGGCAGCCTGGTGTCCATCAGCTGTTGGGACACCCACACAGTCCCGCAAATTACAGGACTCTCTGCAAGGACGGCTCTAAAAATATCCAGCCATCATAAATTATCCTGAAATGAATTGTTTTAAAAATAGCTTTTGAAATGACTGTTCCTCTCTGTCTCCTGTTAAAATATCTGCTGGTAAAGAAGCCACTTAGCTTTCCACATGTACCAGCACTGGTTGCAGCCAGAGACTCATGCTTCCTATATTCAAGCCAAAACCCTCCTGCCCGATGCCAAAACAGACCTGGATGTAAGGGCATCCACACCCAGGCCTGCAGGGTCCTAAAGAGACATTCCCTATTGCTTGCCAGAAGCTGGCAGCACACTGAACCACAACCAGTTATCATCCTCGTAAATAACAGTTAGACCGGCAAAGGAGCAATGTGACTCTCCGAGCACAAACTGAAGGAAAAAATGTGGGCTGTATTTGACAACGGCAGATCAGATTCTTCCCTGGATTAGCCATGCGCAATCCCAAGGAATGGCCAGTTTGTCCTTATACATGGAAGCCAGCCAGAGCTTCTGCTAACAGATGTGCCCGAAGCTGTGCAGCGTGCACGTCTCATGCTCACCGTTAGCATTATCTTCAGTCTTGACAGAGACAAGGGGGCTCTGGGGAGCAGAGTCTCCACTGAGGGAGTAGCTGTGCTCTGCCTGGATGCCTGGAGTGGGCGGATCCAGGTCCATGTCCAGCAGTGGGTTCTTCTCAGCCAGTACTGGGTCATCAAAGAAACTGCTGAAGAGGTCATTGGAGAAGTCCTCCATGTTGTCGGAGAAGTGATCCAGGTTCTCTGAGAAATGCTGAGGAAAGGCAAAGGGAGAGAGAGTGTTAGTGTCAACTCCAAGAAGAATCTGAGAGCCTTCCCCTGCTCTGAGAGCCAAACCTCCGCAATAGCCCTTTTTGGATGGGAAAAAGCAGTTCCTATCCCTTGCCTGCATCAGTTTGTTAAAAACACCTTGAAGTAAGATAGAAAGGGCCATAGTGCTGTACATCTTCTCTGCCTGTTTATATACACCACAAACTCTTCTATATTCTCACATCTCCCTCTTCCTCTGTGGGTACATATCTTCAGCTTCCTACCATCATCCCACTGTGACAACGAGCTCAAGAGAGCACAAGGCAAGAAATCCCCGTGATGACAAAATGCAAATATGGCAGCAAACCACGGTCTTCAGCACCTGTCCTTGGTGGCAGACACTTTCTCATGTCGTCTGCCAGCAGCAATAGGCACTCTGATGCCCCAGAGAACATCAACCCAGCTGCTGATTTCTATCAGAGAAAAGAGTTGGATCCACATAACAGGAAGGCCCCCCCCGTTGTATTTAATTTCCTCTGGGATTTCACAGCCCCTCTGTGGACCATATGAGGCTGTCCTCCAGCCAGATAATGCCTGTGAAATTCTGCTCCTCAATGAAGTTTAAACACTGCAGATGGGCTGTTAACAACAAACAATCATTTCACTAATCATTCCAGTAACAGTCAGTAAATCTGGCCAGTGCTGCTGCAGAGCTGGGCTCCTGATGCTACAGGGAACCTGTTTCCTTTGAGCCATATCCTCCTATTCAGAAGTCAAATCACTAACTTTTCCATTTGCTACAACAAAGCATTGGTTGGGCAGGGAGAAAAATGATGGTTGCCAAACACCAGCTGAAAAATTATCCCATTTGTTGGCAGATTGAGGCTTCTGGCTCAGGGAGAGGAAAGAAAAGACAGATACATTCAAGTGACTATATTACACAGACGGAACTGTGCAACTTAAATGAACTGGAGAGAGCTCAGCAGAGTCAGACTGGGTCCCCCCCCGCCTGGAAAAGCATCTGGGTGGGCAGAAAGGCATTGAAAGCAGCATATTGAAATACCAAGAACAACAGGTGTTTTGGTTTGGTGCGGCCGGTAACAAAAGCGCCAGGCGGCGGCCCCTCCCCCCGCCGCACAGCAACAACAACGGTACAGATAAGGAGAACACACGACATGAACCGCACAACCCGCACAGCCCGCCCTCCACAACCGGCGCCGCGCGCTGCCGAGCCGCGCGTGAGTTCCCGCCGCGCCGCACCCCCCACCGGAACCCCGCATGACGGCCCATGGTGCGGAATACCCGGCTCTGTTTGGCCAGGTCGGGGTTGGGCCAGCCCACCCGGCTGTGCCCCTTCCTGGATTCTGGTGAAAATTAACCCTGTCCTAGCCGAACCCAGGACAACAGGGTACTGGGAGAGAGCGCGCAGGTCCTGGAGCACAGACATGAATGCCAACGAATTCCAGCGTGAGAGCTGAGCTCAGGAAAGCGCCCGGCTCCCAGAGGAGCATGAGGTGCGTGACGTCCTTTCTTTCCCCAGCACCAGGACGGAGGGAGGAGCTGGCCGGAGGACCCCGGATGCTGGAGCCTGCAGGTTCCTGTTCCTACAGGAAGGTCTGTTTGTTTTAGCTGAGCACAATATCACTCTGTCAACATTATGCTGGCTGTCAGAGGGTTGGGGTGAGGCTGGGGAGTGAAGTAGGCTCCAGCTGAACAGATCCATGCTTCCCACCAACTGGGGGAGGGAGATGGTGAGCTGCAGCAATCTCCAACATGCCAGTGCCCTTCACCCTCCAACACCATCCCTCAGCCACCCAATTTAAAAAATCAGAGGCCCACAGAGCATGCTGGAAGTGGGGGGGAGTCTCTGCCGCAAGCATTCTGCCTGACAGGAGGTTTCTCTCCCTTTGCTTCCTTCCTACGTGTCCTGTCCTCTCCCTGCCTGGAGTGACAGCCTGGCGCACCACCACCAGAGGCTCCCCTGGGAGGGCAGGCACTGCATGGGCAGGTGAGGTGGAAGGTAAGGTGAAGGCACACTCATGCTAAATCCCAGTGTTGAGGCCCTCCCTGGGATGTCTGGGCTGAAGTTTTCTTCACTTGCTCCCATACCGGAGGCCGAGTTGACGGGGTAGCTTGGTAAAATCTACCCAGCCATTTCCAAGTTGCTTAGAAGCATTTCTGCACTTGAATCAAGCGACAGAAAACACCTCCTGTCTGAGCTGAGCATAACCGTTCTTCAGAGGGAGCTGAGTCAGCAGGTTGAATTGGGTTAGATATTTATCTAAAAAGCACTGGAAAACCAGGTTTTGTCCTATCCTACAGCACGGAGGGGTAAAGAGTTTGGAGTCTTGAGCATTAACCCCAGAGAGCGCCTGCTCACGTAACAGCTGTTCTTTGTCTTGCTTTCTCTAAACAACACAAGCAAACACAGGATATGAACATGACAGCCTTACGGTAAGGGTGAGAACGTAACCACAGAAAAGTCAAGGGATTCAGAGCTCTGGCTGCCAGCACACCACGACAGCACAGCAGAGCCAGGATCCAACAAGAGGTACTCAAATCATATGTACTGTTGTAACCATCAGAACCACCACGTAACCCTGGAAGAGAAGCAGGGCTGCATGGACAGCTGCAAGGAGAGCTATCTGCAACTCTGCCACGCTCTTCAAATTTCTTTCACAACTGTGCATTGACAAAGGCAGAGGTGGGAGTGAAGAGAGTTAAGAAGATGCATTTATGCAGTAGTTCCACACACTATCTTTTACCGGCATCCCACCCATGCTCAGAACAAGGATCTCTTGGTCAGTCAACAGTCTCCCCATTGTGGAACAAACCTACATGGAGGGAAGTGGTGGAGATGTCCCTCTGGTTTTATTCTGAAACTAAATCATTTCCCCAGCAGTGGCTAAGGGGTGACAGATGAATAATGAGTGCAAGGGGCCAAGTAACAGAGCCTTAACACGGGCACCAACATTGGCAGGAGTAACTGCAGATTTCTGGTTCTAGTTTTAGAGACCACACAGCAGGCTTGCTGGAGGACCTCGCTGCTTGGAAGTGAGGATGAAGGCAACACTGTTCTCCCAGAGATGCAGGAGTTCAGGTCCCCAGGAGCCCACTCTCTCCCAAGAGACAGAGACCTGCTGCACAGTATGTGAAAAACGTGGGTGACAGGCAGAGAATGAAACTCCCACCCTACCTGGCAATCCAGAAATGCTGGGGCACATACGCCTCTCTGGGCTCCTGGGTCTTCTCCTGCAGCACAACAAAATACTGGCAAAACCTTCTCATCAAAGCAGTCCCCTTCCACCTCTCACCAATTATACCAGTTAAACATCTCCAGACACAGGCGGTGGAGAGAAGGGAGCTAGCCTATGAGATTGGGAATAACTACGGTTATTATCAAAGGAAGCACCAAGGATCAGACACCCTCAAAGGTCGAAAGCACCTAGAGCTGTCACAGAGCTGGAGATTGCTCTTTGACTCAAAGAATGTGGCAAGAGGCAGAGGAAAGCAGAAGAAGGAACGCTAAAGCAAACAACGACACAGCTTTGTAGCTGGCTATATCCACAACGGAAGCTACAGGACAAGCAGGAAGCTAAGCCACCACGTCCCAGGAAGACTGCTGTGTCTCTTGGGTTGGCTCTGTTCTCTCCTGACGCCAGCAGGTATTGTTAACTTTAGATCTCTGATTAGTAAAGACAGCCACGCACGCAACCACATGGTGGTAGGAAAAAATGTCCAGATCCAACTGTGATGGCCATAGTGAGGAGCAGCCCAGAGTTTATTTTGGACAGATGCCACCAAAACCTCTGCTAATTAGTTTAGATTGAGCCTGCTAACCCAGAATATGCAAACTCTGTCCCGCCCAGCCTCACTGGGGGAGCTGCACCTATCTGGCAGAACTCAGAGAAGGCTTCAGCCAGACTCTTCCTTAACACATGTGAGAGAAGGCTCCAGGGAACTGCAGGCCCCAGGGTACGGTGTCTCAGGGCTGTGTGGATCGCGGCAGGGTCAGTGCTCTGAGTTTCTGAGTGACAAACAGAAGCAGGTTTATCACCTGACCAAATGGATGGTAGCATGGAAGTTCACATGCCAGAAGAGGTGCTGGGCAGCCACTAGCCCTCCCTTCCCACCCAGACTGGGGCCAGCACAGCTGAGGGCCTTCGTGTGCTGCCACTAAATGAAACAACTGTGCTGGGCTTCGGGGAGACTTTTGCTGATGCCATGGCAACAAAGACCTCAGCACACCAGAGGCATGTGTTGGTGTAAGGTCTACAGGACATGGGTGTGAATGAAGGTGGGATAGACAGAGATGCACAAGTAGAGCAGGCTCATTCTCTCACAGCCTCCAAGGCCTAGAGTCTCTCCTCGAGACCACCTACCTTCCAGCCAGGCTGAAATCTGCCAGCCCCCTAGCCTCAGGAAATTGACCAAGAATTTCTAATTGTTACAATGAAGGACTCTGCAGCTCTGCTGAGAGTCTGGTTTAAGATATCTGAAGTGGCTTTCATGCACATGGGCCTGGCTTGAGCAAGGGGAACCAGTCAACTGGGAAACGTGATCCTTACCATCCTGGCCCAGAGGGAGCGGGTGTGAAGTGTACTGGGGGAAAACAGCTTCCAGATGGGATATGAAGCTCACAGCACAGTCTCATTTTGCATTATTCGCTCCTGCTATCTCCCCCTCCCTTTCACACCCTCCTTTCTTCTTCTAACTATGTTCCAAAGCCAAGAAATAGCACGAGATGTGTTTCCAAAGCTGTATTACCAGTGAGCGGTCAGGGAGGGGGCAGCCAAGGGACAGAAACGCAATGGCGAGGATGTGCTGGATTTCCTGATCCAAGCCCAATTTCTGGCTGCCCGTCCCCCCACCACAGTTCTGGGAGGACAGGGAGGCAGAGCCTGAAGGGGACGAGCCAGCGTGCACAGGTACAGGGGAGGCAATGACCACCTCATCTCCAGGCCCAAC